TTACTAGGAAAAAATGCAGAAAAAGATACCATATGACAAGCACGCCATACTCTGCCAGCAAGTTATGCTACAAGTGTTAGCACTGGCATGTGACAATGTGCTATAAAGTGAAGCTGACACTCAACAAAGCAATTTTATAAAGTTTTCCATCAACAACACTTTTTTGTTTGCACTCTGATAGAGTCTGGCTGATAAAGCCCCATGCAATCCTTCAAGTTGTCATGGGCCTCACTTTGCACTTTTGCATCTTAAACTGCACTGATTGATTACATACCGTGAGTGTTACTGCCCCAGAAAGACATCATTGCTACACTCTCTGAACAAAGCTGAAACAAGTGGTGGTATAAGCTCCCAGACTGATTAGCACTAGCAGGAAATAAAGTGTGTGCCATCCTTCCAGGCTTCACACCAGCAAAGTTGCAGCATACATGTACATCCTCAAACAACTCTTTTCGAGGACTAAAGTTCCTAAAAAAGAAGGCACAAAATTCTCCTTAGTTACAGCAAACAAAACCAATCTTTATTAATGGACATATGCTAAAATACACTGCTTTTAAGATGGGCATCACCAAAACATGTCCAGCATCAGAACTCTATGAACTGGCATAGCTTAGCCCTGGTCCTAGATGGCAGAGCTCAGTTTGTGTCACTTTGCATCAAGGGAAAATAAAAAAGGACAACAACAAAAGATATGAGTGCCTTCAGGGTCAGATTCCTCTCCCAGAACTGGAGCAAAATCTTAGTTGCTCCTGTGGGGTGACCCACTACACACACCTAGGAATAAAATCGAAAGAGACACCACTGCACTTCCTCAGTGAAGCAGTGGTTTCCATGCAGGAAGAGGTTTCCATGGCATTCATATCTTCCCTATCCCACTACCAAACCTTCAGCCTTCAGAGTGATTGAAGGCTGTTTCCATGGAGTAAAAGGCAGCAAGGCCCCACCCCAGCATGAGGTAAAGCTTGACTGCTCTACTTCAGCTGCTTAGCAATAATCATAGCATCAACCAACTTCCCCATGTTTTTCTTGACACCGATTATACCTGATACATTTAAGTCTATCAATATCTCAAAAATGCTCAAACCTTTGTGACCACAAAGTTAAAGTTCAGTTACTGGCTGGGGCTAAACCATGGTGCTAAGTAACTACCATTTCAAGACAGAGCATTTCTTTTCATGATACATACGTAGCTACCACATGCACAGAAAGCTGGACATCTTCCCAGCCTGCCTCTCTTTTGGACTTCAAGGAACCTTCTCTTTGGCAAAGGAGGTCCAGGGCTCATCTCACCTGTGTAAACATTAGGGATTGTTGTTATAGTGCAGAAAAGCATGCACAGGCTCCAGAGCTTTCCCAGCTGAGGCAACTTGAGGATCAGTGCAGAAGAATTCCACCTGTTATGGCCTTCTGGGAAGGACAGGATCTCTGGTCAAACAACTGCTTGAAAGAGAAGGGTGTGGTTTTTTTTCATTCAAACATGTCCTACTCTGGTGTAGGCATGGGGATGATTAATCTTTGGGAAACGCCATTAATGTTTACTGAGCAATACAAATGGACCTGGGCTCTCTCTCTCTCAAAAAAAAAAAAAAAGACATTATCAATTATTAAAAATAAAAATAAAAATTTGATTCTGGGATCTGAGGAGAAGAGGAGGATAACCCTCCCAAGAGTCTATTAAGAATGGGCTATATATTGTTCCATTTTCCATGCTCATTACAATCACTGCCCCAATAATAGCTGCATGCTGTGCCTTTTTCTATTCTAGTACAATTTTCCCCATGGGAACTAAATATCTCAGTTTAAATACTGAGCAGATCTGGTAAAAGAAAGCAGTATGCTTCTGCTGTGCTAATCTTGTGTGTAATCTGAACCTTAGGTAGCTGGTTACTAACTTTCTCATTGCTTGATATGAAAATGAAGGGGCAGTACAGGGGAGGAGGAAAATGATCAGACAGACAAACTAAATGACATTGGGAAGGTCAAAGTGTCTCAGACTTAATATTTTTCAGAAATTGAGGCTTTGGTGAATTTTAATTCCTTGAGCTCTGGGAAAAATTGTGAGAAGAAAAGTAAACAGTGGCTCCATCTTAGTGTTAGTCCCTACACCAGGACTTTGGTGACATTTAAATCTCTATATCCAGGTCCTGGCTTGGGACCTACATGCACTGATGCTATCCTTTCACAGGGGTCTGTGTTTCCTTGGAAGATCACCCTTGCTGAGTCCCCACAACATCCCTGTCCAAACAAGGCAGAGCAGTTTCTGCTTGGGCACAGTGGGATCCCAAGACAAGTACATCAGCTTTCAGCTGATGGCCTGATCTAGAGAAGCTCCTCACAGAGCCTTCCACAGGGCACCACACACCTCTTCCAAAATGCCATGAAAGACAGGGAAATAAGGCCTGGGTGATTCTGCTTCTAAAGACCCTGATTTGTGCAGACGTCATATCAAGAACTCCAAAATTTGAGATGCAGAGATGACAGCCCTCCTGTTACGCCGTTCCTTGTCCATGGTCATAGTGCCAGAAGTCTCCACCTGCCAGAAAGCAGCTCTGCTGCACGGGTGTTACAAGGATCACAACCTTTTGTCTTATAAATTGGCCTGATCATATGGGAATCATAATGGGACCTTGCAAAGGCAAAGAGCTTTCTATTCAACTTGGAGGGGTCACTTACATGCTGTGACTCTGACATTGCCCCTTACTAGTTTCATTTTCCAACTTACTGCACTGAAACAGTTTCACTCAATTCACTGTTAAACAAAAAGGCAAGTCAGGGCTTAGAGCTCAAGCTTTACTTGACATTAACTCAATTTGAAGCTCAAAAAGAGGTGGGTTTAACTTTGCATTTCATTTTTAATTTCCACTATTTTCTGTGCTCCTGCTACCAGACAGAACAGAAACCTGAATTAATATTGCAAAAGACTGACTGCTGGTGTGCAAGCAGGAAACATTATCTCACAAATAGATGGATACTCTAGTGATTCCCAGCTCAGTCATACATCTACAAAAGTTCCTCTGGGCTTCAGATGGGTCATTTTCATATGAATGTATAATGAACTTCCACAAGTTCACATTTAGGGCACTGCAAGGCTTGCCCTTCACCAGCAACTTCAAGTGATTCCCCGGCATGATCAGTGGGCTGCAATGTAGGACCTTAATCTGAATTCAGACTGTGCAGTCAGTGTGTGGAACCAGAGGTTCCGAAGGAAAGCTCCCTGTGGGGACACAGAGACCTGAATTTGCCATGGAAGAGGGTCTAGTTCAAATTTGCCGTCTTTGGATTCCCCTTTCATATTTTTTCCTATAAAAGCAAACTCAACTTCTAAATCCTATGCTCATCTCAGTTTTCTTGAATCTCCAAATACAAACACTGGACTGTTTCAGAATTTTGTTCCATCTGTGGGACTGAATAGACCTTTTATGAAGTGGTAGCGTTTAAAACAAGAAAAAAGTAAAGGTTTGGATATATCTGATTAACAAGGAACATGATAATCTAGTTCTAGACATGAACAAACCCTGGAGTTCACATCACTGTAGAAATTTATCTTTAACTGTTGCAGCTTGAGCCCATCTATTATTAACTCAGTAAAACATTTTTTTCTGTTCAGAAATACGTTCCTTGGGAGAAGCTTCTGCAAACACACCAGCAGGTGGTGGCTTCAGAGAGAGACCGAATAGATGTACTCCTGAGAGCCAAAGCTGAGAGTACTTTAAATAGAAAGATAAACCTATCAATGAAATAAAATCTTTCCAAAGGCAGCATGAGCTGGTTCCAGCTGAAGGCTTTTCCTTTTCTTTGTAAAATTGTTGCTTGCTCCTACAGATCTGCAGGAAAGAATTTTACATTATGGTAGCTTGTAGCAAAACAATTGGCAAAAAAACCTCCAAGCAACCAAAAGAAAAGCCTCATCAGTTCCATACTGCCGCCCACCTGGATTTTGCTTTGTTTTGGAAACTTCAAGGAGTTGAAAATCAAACTCATCCTCAAGGCAGCCTCAATGAAATCAATGTGCAACCCTGGGAATTAATCTGGCCCAAGCCTCATTTTCTCTTTAAGTGCAGCAACCAAGGTCATTTTCCCATCTGGATTTTGCAGATGCTTCTGCACATACTGATGAGTTACACATTTTATCAAACCTTGACCACTATTTTCAGGGCTGGAAAATGTTTGCACAGTATCAGAGGATCACAGGAAGAACTGTGAAGACTTTTGGTGTTAAAATAGAGACCTTGTATTTTCTATGTGCCACTTTTCCTGTATCCCTCAAAGCAATCTACAATATCTTTCTACAGTGCAGTGCAGGACTTTGTTTTCCTTTGTCTCCGAAATCTCTCCCTTAATGCCCGATAATGCCACTCATCCTCTATCTTAACTTAAGGGAAGCTCCTTTCCGCATCTGTGGGATCTGTCTAGCAGTGTGACCAGCATTTTTCTGCTGGTTGAAGTACTGAGAAGGACAAACTATAAGCATAACTTTTTATTTTTTGAGGGAGAGTGTGCCTGTTTATATATACCTATAGCCTTGTTCTTCTCTTACCTCCTCAGAAATACCTTTTGTATCAGTGCATGTGATGTCTGCATGGATCTGATTCTTCAGGAACCTCTGGTAACAACAGAGCATCTTGCAGTCAGGCTGCCTTAGACCTTGGCTTGGTCAGCACTTTAAAAACTACTTTTGAGTAGTTGAGGGCAAAGACCCAGTGTGAGCATGCAATTACTGCAGTTACTGCAAGGTCCAAAAAAGCAGACGGGTCAAAAAATGCAGAAAGGATTGGCTGCAGACACCCTTTCTGTCACAAGACGATCTGTGTCAGACATGGTGGCCAAGGTTCCACCTGGTACATCCAGTCTCATTATGGTGAAGAATGCATGCCATTCAAACATGGCAGTGAACTGTAGGGCAATATATTTGAGAGAAGAGGTCTGCAAAAGCAATTCCTTCCTGGAAGCAGACTGCACAAGGCTACCTGTACCTTTTACCCTCGGCTTAGCTTGTCACTTTCTCAGCCTATAGACTGGGGTGCTAAAACACACAGATGCCAGCTACAAAGTAATAACACTGAGAAATTTGTGGCTTGTGATATTTTAATATCCTGAGCAGAGGATTATTTGCTGTTCAGAGTGCTTCAAAATGTTCTCCTTCTGTGCAATTGATAGCTTTACTGCTCCTGGACAGAATAACAAACAGCTGTGCTACTAAAATAAAAGAGATCCTTTGGATCATCTCAGGGCAGCATCTTGGCAGTCTTGGTGCCACAGTGACTTCTGGAAAGGGTGAGTGGTTGCAGGGCAGATTTGCCAGCTGGTGCAGGCACTTGCAGCTGCTTAGCATTCATGTTAAAAAGGTATCATTGTGGATTATTAAAAGCAGAGAGGACAGTTGTAAATCATAGTCTTACCTCTTATGTAACAGAGACTAGACACTTAGGATCAGCAGAAGTCATAGATGAGCTTGACTAGAGGTACCCAGCTGGGCAATGGAAATGCTGATCTAGTTTTTGCTGAAATTTCACATGCCAATGTTGTATTTCCATGATGCAGCAGAGAGTTCATTCAGAGGCTGGAGACCAGGTAATCAGATTCTATACAGGTTTACTTCTTCATTATTTATTCAATAAAGATCACATTAAAAAGCCACTAGAGGCAGTGAGAGTCCTGTTGACTGTGCAGCAGTCTGAATCAGACCTGAAGCAACCGGAGTTTTAATTTGCATGCCTAGAATTTGGTAATGATGCTTCCAAAGGTCTGTATCAAATTATGAACTCCCTTTGGAGTAATGTGTTCATCACACATCTGTACTTGCCTGAGGTAACCTCTTATAACCTGTTCCAAATAGCTGTCCTGCCTGGTTTGACACTTCCTCAGGAGATCTATGGACCAGGATCACCTCCATGCAAAAACGGTTTCTTGGCCCAGGTGAAAGAAAGCATGGCTGGCAGGGATAGCAAGAAAGATAGCAGAAACTCAAAAGAGTTGGGAGCAGTTGAGGCAGAGCTGTTGAAATGTTCTAAATAACTTTGTGTGAAGTTTCAGTTAATGTTGCCTGATCCCTCTCTTCGGTTTCCCCTTCAGGACAGGAGCCCACAGGCACTCCTTCCTCCATTTCTCGTTCATCCCCATTTCCCTATGACAATACCTGAATGCTGCAGCTGCTGGGGTCCCTGCAGTGCGCAGCAGAAGAGAGAAACAGCTCTTTCTGGGTCCAGCTGCTCCCAGGCCAAATAAAGATGTGAGCTCTGTCAATGTCTAGACATGTAAGATGTGGAGCCGGAACTGGTTATACTGCCTGTTGACCACTTTATAATGAGAACTTTGGCCCAGTCTATAGGAGATTGAAAATCTAGGTAGTATTTTTTGGTGTAACAGTATTCTTCTAATGAGAAATACAGTCTCTGATTTGTATCCCTCTGACTTGAAATCATTCATTTTAAATGAATGTTTGTTCTGCTAATTTAGAATCCAGGCAGGCATGGAAACAATGTATTTTGGCTTGTGAGAGGAGCAGAGCTTGAGTTTGTTAAGCACATACATACTTCGTTGCTTTGGGAGGCAGGGCAACTTCCTGCTAGAATAAGATTTCTTAAGTGGCAGGAGTGAGCTCCATAGTGAGCTCTGTGATGATACCCTCAGTGGGGGACCTGTCCTTCACCTTCCCTGGGATTTGGAGCAGACCCAGGGGTAGCTGGGTTGGTATGGCTTGCCTCCAAGGAACAGCTCCACACACCCTTTTTGGAAGGTGTGAGGGTGGTATTTGGCTCTACAGCTCACCCACAGCACTGCAGGGCAACTGATGAAGTGACAGGCTGTGACTAAAAGCATATGGCTGTTGTCCCCTGACTGCCACAGTGCGTGGAGCAGTACCATATCATGTGCCCTCAATGTGTTTGCCAGTTGCAACACAGGAATGGGGATTGCTTTGTCTTCTCACTCTCTGACATTTGCACAGAAGTGGGCCCCATGGGCTGTTGAGGTGTCACATTTTGCATTCACCTCTCCTCAGACTGAAGCATCAGTTGGTGTTCCATCAGAGGCTTCTTGCTGAAGGCTGCTCCCTGTAGGGTCAAGGTCTGCAATGAAGCCAGAGGCAATTTGAGGTATTTCTCCAACCATCCACCTTCCTCATTAACCTGCCAGAGGAAGGTAAACTGAGTGCTAGGTCTGTTGCCCCTCGCCTGGTCTCCTTTAAAAGAGTTATTTTCTAAAAGTCACTTGATGAGCTAAACCTTTCATGGCCATCCCTACATGATGCAACCCAGACAGTGGATTGGATTCACATATTCACACAGGAGCCCAGTCTGACATGGCCCTTCTTGTTGAACTCCTCAAATGGGGACCACTTGTTTCCAAACCCTGATGTGAGCCCTCTTCCCCACTGCAATGGAGAAGTCTTTGTGCTTCTTACAGCCTCATTAGAAACTTAAGAATCTTGCTACTGGAAACACAGAAATTCATTCAAAAAGCCTACTTGTGTAGATGCAGATAAAACAGGATTTTGGCATCTCTTACAGTGCTACTATCCCACTAAATACATTATCAGCATTCACATATAATTACTTTGGTTGTACTTGTGCCTGCGTCACAGTGAATTTCCAAAGAACAGAGCTCTGAACCCTGTTAACTTTATTTTCCCTAATGTCTAAACAAAACCCATTTTAAAAAAAAAAAATCTTCCTTATTATTTGAAGCAGAAAAGTAATTGGCATTGAACAAAAGCTGGATAATATTGTCTTTTGTGATGTGCTGAGCAATAACTTGGACTACAGCAACATTACTTGAAGCAAGGATTTGTTTAAATAGCTTTCATTCTGGTTTGCTGCTAAACCTCAGTAACAGTGCATTAAATACATGTATTTCAGCACCCCAACACAGACATTTCTTTCTGTAACTCAGAATGTTTCATGTTATTGCTCTGAAGGCTTTTGCCAGTTGGCTGCTTTGTACACGTGCTAAATTGCTAAATTTTTAGCATTTACCCACTTATCTAGTTTGACACAGCATGCCTGCACAAGGAAGAAGGAATTGGGCCTGGAAGTATAGGAACAGCACTTTCAGGGTTGTAGACACTTAAATTGGCACTCTGTAGTGCAATTAAACTGATAAACAACAAAATATGTTAGAAGCTGGATGAATTGAAACCATAGCCCTCTAACAGCAGAATGATTTGCAAGAGACTGCACTGTCAGGAAGAGTTGTAACCAAAATCTGCTTGATTTACTGCAGACAGCTCATTCCCTTTGAAACTAAAGAGTGAGTTCATGCCATATCTTTGCATCAACCAAAGATGCCTGCTGCCAAAACAGGGCTGGGGCTGTCCCTCATGCTCATTACACCCCTTATCTGACCCCAGCTCAGAGCTAGGCCAAAGTACTGAACCAAAAGAAGGTGATTTGCTGGTTTAGCCCCAAACAGGCTCCTCTGAGGCCAGCTAAGAGCCAGTACTGGCACAAGGGATGGGGTGGGAGCATGTGAGGTCAACAGCTGGCAGCAGGTCCACTGTTATGGGGAGCAGATAGCCCTTCCATCATTGTATCCATACTGTCAAGCCATGTCCTCAGTGCCTGCTGTCCTCACCACAGACAGAACAGTAAGATCAGGAGACTGTGGAAGATTTCTAGCCACTGTCAGATTAACAAAAGCCTCAGTCCTAAACTGGCTTTTGCTCTGAACCAGAGATTTTCCTTTCTCTGGTGCCTGGTATTAGAAATGAAAATTAAAACCAACCCATGAACATAAGCACATTAAATACACAGATACAGGATCATCTCACCACAGATGGCTGCTCTGAGTATTTCTAGCACTGTTGCTAACTAAACCTACCAGAAGCAGCTGGGACCATAGCAGACCCTGAGATCCTCCAGTCATGTGTCCACAGGTAGTCTGCAGAGAGAAATGCATGATGGCAGCCTGCTGATAGCCTGCCTGGTCTGCATGACAGCAAATAATCTGCCTAAATTTCATAGCAGTGTTGTGCCAAGCTGCCAGCTGTGCTCAGCTCTGTTCTGGGTGCACCAGGGACCCTGTTCCAACTGTGCCCATCCTGCCAGGTTGCTGTCAGAGCACGGAGCAAGTCGAGTTTGGAGAGTGGCCCCGCGTCTCCAGTGCAGGCAGCACTGACTCAGCTGTCTTCCAATGGAGGGAAATTGGCTTCTTTCATTGCAAATATAAATAAGTAAATAAATCTCTTTATTCAAAAGTAAGAGAGTCTTGCGGCCAAAATGTCATATTCTGCAGTGTTTCAGAGAGTGTTATGGGCTGAAACTCCAGCCCAGTTGGCACAAGTCCTGTGGGTTTCAGGGCAGCTCTGATTTCACTCTCTAACTTGTACACACTGCCAAAAGCACTGGCTGGTGAACAGCTCCTAAGGAACGGGCTAGTGTCATACATGGTCTCCCTTATCACTGTTTCCCAGGGGTCTTAGTGCTAACGGCAGGTGGCTAGCTGGTGCTGAAAAGCATGCACAGTAACAGCAGAGTTCCAAGGACTGTCTGAGGCAAAAGCTTCAACCCGTCTCCTAGGACAACCCTGGTTGAGGTGCACAATAACATCACAGTAAGACTGCCCGTGAAATACTTCATAGGGAAGGAGTTGAACTACAGTTTGTCTACTGAGCTCTTCACCTTTGTGATAACCGAGATAGTGAGTTTCAAAGAACTAGTTATCATCCATGCAAAATACCACTGCCATTTCTCCCCACAGTAAATAGCAGCATATTAATGAGGTAAAATGGAATATCAGTTTTCCTGTTGTTTCAAGCACCTGAACTGTACAAGGAAAAGAAGTTGCAAACAAATCTGATGTTCTAAATCTCCCTAACCTTGCAAGAGTTTGAATACTGCAATAAATGCCACTTAGCTCTGTAATCTGCTTCTACCAACAGCATCAGGTCGGTCTGCCCTTACCCTCTGGGGGATTGTTTGGTTTGGTATGCATTTCATTGACTCTACACAAAGGCAATCTGGGCTCTATTCCCAGACCTTCCTCTGCTTCCCGGTGCTGTGCAGCTCAGGTCCTTTCTCTGAGCTTCAATGTTCCTGTCTGAAACAAAAGAGTGAGCCACTGGTTTATTTTTGAAAGCTCCGGGTAAGCAATGCAGTAGGGAGAGGAAAGGACTGGGGCTATCCAAACTGCTGCTCTCTATACAATGACCTGAGCTCAAGAGATGATGAGAACTGAGCTCCAGCTATCTCCAGATCTGTTTTGGAAGCAAACACCCTCATTGCTGAAGACTCACAAATCTAAATCTCCTTCCTTCTGCACTCCTGCCTGTTTTTCTGTGATGCCTGTGAAAGTTACAATTTTGTTATCTGAAAACAAAAGTGCTTAGTTGGCAAGAAAGGCTCCATAAAGAAAGCAATGGAAGCTGTCACATCTGTACTGTCTGAACACCATCTGTCTCCCGAGTTTACTCTGAAAGAAAGCAAATCCCATCAAGTTCCCTTGCTATATATCAGTAAAATGCTTAGCAGTGGCACTTGGAAAAGGAATGAACACATTTCAATTAGGCAATGGCATCATAAAACACCAGCTCAGTAAATAAAAACCTGGAGGTTAACATTTGTAGAGATTAAGCAGTCTGTTAAGTAAAGTTTACTGTGGCATGTTAGGGGCTTTGTAATACATATTTATATACATGTTGCACCCAAAACAGGCTACTTTTCAGACTGTTATTTTTCCTTTAAGAATATGTAAATGCCTCTTAAGAGTTACTTGAGATCCAGAGACTGGTTTGAAGCTGTAGACCCCTTAAATAGGTGTATCATATTTGGTAGGGAACAGAAGGACAGGAGAGAGATGAAGAAAAGCTGAATCACAGAATGGTTTGGGTTGGAAGAGGCCTTTAAAGATCAAAAAGGCAAATCTTATCTTTTCTTAAGGAGCTGGTGACAAATGCTGGAAACAGAAGGTAACCACTGCAAGTGGGCTAATAACCATTCAGAAAAACCTAACTGCCAGGTTAGATGGAACTGAATGCTGGGATAATACCTCGCTGAGAGCCCTGAAGTATATGCATCACCACTGATTTCCAAGGCTCTACAACCATTATGATTATGAGGTTGTAACTTACTGCTTTTCCGTCTGTAAATCTCAAAATAGTCTCGCAGATGTTTGGTCCTGGAAGCATGGAGCGACAACTGTATGCACTGGATACAGTTAGCCTAAGCTAAGAGGAGGACCCACTGTTTCTTAGCTGGTTTCGCAAGCAGCCTTTACATCCAAAGCAGAGTAAACCTGTGCAGGCTTCAACTTACTCCAAACACAGATAAATGGTTTTGAATAATATAAAGCAGTACAGATACTTAGGAATGGCTGCTCCTGCAGAGTGCTTCTAGGGTAGCAGATTCCCTGTGTGCATGAGCAGGTCTCATGGTGCTTTTCAGATAAGTTGTATTCTCTGCCACATTCAAGAAGTTGTTGCTCAGAGCTGCCATCACTGGCACCTTCCATTGACTTTATGACCAAGACTTGGGACAGAATTTGCTCAAAGCATCTCGTGAATCTTCGATGTGGAGCTCACCAGCACATTCACACTGCAGTGAACTGGGCCTTGCAAATAGATAAAAGCATTGGTGTCATCTTATACATGGGGAAATGAGTTTCAGACAGTGTATGATAATGTAGCTACCACTGCACTCCAATGACAACTGGACCAGATCCACGTGGTGCAAGAACTCCAAAGAACTGCTGAAACCCACTGGCTACCAAAATGCCCTTGTATTACAGCACTCTCACTCCTGTGCTGCCAGTTCCTGGTCTATTTTTTCCCCCTGCTTCAGCACTTCCCCCAACCCCACCATGAGCTATTATCTCAATTATTCCAGCTGTTGTGCTACACCACACTGAACATAATCAAAGCTAACAAAGCACACTTCACTGGCTCCATTGTAATCTGGCAATGAAAGCTGAAGATCCTAAATGAACAGTGCTTAAACTGATGTCATACTTGAGGGAGTCCAGCAGGGAATGGGAACAGGGGGAGGGGAGAAGTGGGGGGGAAGAAATAATGCTGTGGGTTTTATACATCTGGGGTTTTTATTATCATTAGAAAACTTCAGAGAAGTATTGGTAGGAGTGGACAAAGCTGTGATTCTGGGGGTGTCTCAGTCCTGATATCTTTTTGAAATGCAGCCTTCTTAGACAAACATTCTCCAGGAATAACTCAGACTATGAATGCCAATTTACCTGGGGCTGTACTCATACAAGGTCCTGGCTAGCCCACAAATTCGTGCACTTATACTGATACAAGCAAGATGCAGTCTTCCACTTTGAACACCTTGATTAACACAGCAACATCTTCAAAGTGTCTGTCTGAAACAAAATGGGAAGAAAACTAAATGAAAGACTGAAGTAGAGCCCACATTGCACATACCTCCAGGTTAATTCCCTAAACAGAGACCTTCAGTCTCAGGAGCACCAGGGTGGATGATAAATAAGGGCCATATCCTGAGGCAAAAATAAGTCCATATGCTCACCTTGCTCCACCCAAGCTTGCAGCAGTCAGTGCACAAAGGAAAGAGAAATTGAAATAATTTTCCTAGTCCTTGGTAGAGAGGGGACTGACACTGGATACTAATCCAGTGCCCAAATGGTGCAAACAAACACTGACTCAGCAGGAGCAGCAGGTGAAGTTGATCTCTGCACTGGGACTTGTCCTGGCCTTGCTTATCTAACTATGCATATTCTTGAAAGCCTCTGCCAGTGGGTTCCAGGTGTGTGGCCCCAGTCCTCTCCTACTTTTTCAGCTGCTAAGTCTCTTTGCAAAGAACTGAGAATATACCACATGCCCATGAAATGGCACTCCCCTTCCATGATTGCTTTTTCAGGTGCTACTGGGGTCCAGATCAGGCCAGCTGAGAGCAGCTGTCTAAAAGTCTGGCATCTTGCTGACACTAAGGCCATGTCCAAGGAGAAAAAAGCAGTAATTTCCAAAACACAAATGATCAAAACTGTTCACATCATCTCCCCACTCTTATAGACTTTAAAGACAATTAGTAATTTTTAAAAATTAATAGTGTCATTCTCAAATCCTCTCCCAAATGCTGAAAAGGCCAAAATCTTTGCAAGTTTTTATGTAATGCCATTTCAGATGCCTGAGGAGCTTTTCTTGCCTTCTCAGCATATGAACCACAGAAAACTCTTCTCCATTGTCATCTTCTAGTATTGCACGTAGGGGTGTACATTCCAGGGACATTCAGGACTTCATGGCAAGCATGGAATAATCTCCACAATCTAGGCTCATATTGCCTAGAATGAAAGAAGGGACCCTTTGTGTATTGTAGAGCTACAGTACACAACTGAAATCTCCAATTCCTGTCTCATACAGAGCTGAATTAAACATATACAGAGCAAGTTTTGTGGAAAATTCATATGCCCCTCTGTAGGACATCAGGCAAAGGTGATGCCCAAATGCACATGCAGTGCTTTCTAACACCCAGTACCTGAAGTGTTAAAACAGCAGAGCAGAAACAAGCTAATCTCTGAAATGAGGACACTGCTCCAAGAATGGATCGATCGAGGGTTGCCCTTCAGTTCCCAGTTGCTGACAGACAGCAAATTGATCACACTGTGGTTTGAATTTGTCTCCTGACAATTCAGGCAAGCAAGGGTCAGGAACTCAGTAAATGCATAATCTGTGCCTGGCACTCTCTTGCTATGTACTAAACAATGATAAAACCTTTAGAGCAAGCTGTTTCTCCTCCAGTTGGGTAACATTCGTATCCAGCTGAACCCCTGGGGCGATAAGTACAGCAGACCTCCTCTTCTGACGTAGGTAAATAAAACATACCATAAAGAAAAGTACAGGGTATTGGCACGTCTCTCCTAAGGGGGCTGTCAGCAGCTGAATGCTGCAATCCCCATGAGTGCGAGGAATGAGGGGGTATTTTTTTCCAGAGAGCCTCTGCTCTCTTTCCACCTTCCTTGCTAGAAACTGATCCGTCCTTGTTCCTCCTTCCCCCTGACTTGGTGTGCACAGAGTTATCAGCACAGACCACGGCAACATCTTTGCTAATTCTCCAAGTGCCACCTACAGTTTGTGCGAGTGCATGCATATGAGTGTACACATTCATAGGCAGAGATGGAAACATGCTATAAATGTGTGTGTATATATATATATATGAGTACTGAGGTATGATCAAACCAGCCCATAACTCACACATGAGAAGACAGAAATAAGCCTGGAAATGCTTCTGTTCTGGGGAGCAGGTCCTCTGCCTGCAGAGGAAATCAGGCTTGAGCACACAAACACAGCAGGAGCGCAAGCCTTTCAGGGAATGAAGTAAGATCATTCTGATTGCACCTGATATACTTTGTGGGTGGTCCTTTGCTCAGAAATACCACAAGCACAGAAAAGGGATCTGGTATCTATTTCCCCTTCTGATCAAATATGCCAGTGGATCTGGCAGTACCAAATCCCAAGAGGTGCTACGAAACTGACAGTAAGTGGGAGTAAGCGCTAGAGTGGCTTCAGTAGTTGCCATGCTTCAGCAATCACCATCACCACCACCACCACCTCTATCCTACCCCCTCCCCCTCCAGACACAGCAAAAGGGCCCTGCAAAATGCAGAAGATTTTTAGAGAGTAGGGAAGGCAAAGAGGGCAAAGGAAATGAATTTAACAGCTGAGGGGCTTCGGATTTAATAGAGCTAGCTTTCTACTGCTTGCTTGCTGTCTTACTTCACTATTTTCAAGGGAAAACACTTGTGTATATAGAAAGCACCCAAACTGTTTCTTGCTACCTCTGTATAGGGAAAAAAGGTGATGTTTTTCTTTTTCTTTTTTTTTTTTAATATATATTTTCTTGCAGAGACATTTTGAAAGAGAGAAAAGAGGACATCGCTGGTAATACGTTGCCCTACAGCACTTAGGTTAGCTGGGAAGTTCACAAAAGCCATCCCTAGATCCATTGGAAAAACAATGGTCAAACAATCTCAAGTAGAGGCTTTCCTTAGAGATTTGCCTCTCTCAGGTGGGTATTTCTACATCTCTCTGCAACAGCTTTGTATTTTCCTTGGAGTTTCATACAACCCATCGAAGGCTGTGGTGAACTGACACCATCAGGGAGTTGCACTGGCCAGAAATCAATCAGTGTATGTGCAGACCTCAAAGAACCTCCCTCCCCCCCCCCATTTGCTGAAGTGCCTGATCCTGGCAGGAATAAACCCCTCAGGCTTGAGCAGATGTTTGCAGGGGAAGACTCTGGAGGGTCTTGAGTGCTCTGCTCTGGAGCTACTTATCCTTTCTGCTCCCTGCTTCAACCAACCCCAAAGAACCCAACAACAAACTTTGTTTCGATGTGGACACACTTGAAAATGGTTATTTACGATGATTTCACTTGGACTGACAAGAAAACAGGAGCGCAGAATGTTTTTTGATGCACCCTGTGGCTAAAAGCCCGAAAGTAACTGGCCCCTGGCCAGGCTACAAGAACGAACAATGATATTTTGGGGCAGAGGTGTTGGTGAGTCCAGCTTCTATCTGCTTGTATTCAACTTTTCCAAATGTACTTAAGTGGAAAGGTTGTTAACTAATTCAATGTCTTTCAGTTTGACTCTTAGGTTTGGTTCATGATACAGTAGATATATAGACAACACATTCCCAATGCCCCCTTCAGTCACCAGTCATTTCTCTCACACATCAGTTTGTTTCTTTTTTTTCTTTTTTCTTTTTTTTTTTAATGTTTATTTGCCATAAGTTTAAGCCTTTTGTGGGAAAGAGAAGATGGGAGAAACTTGTTCCTTTCTGTTCATAAGAAACACTTTAATTCTGTATGTTAACTGATTTCTTGGCTTCTGAAGAAGTAAACAAAATATTAAAAAGTCAAAATCAAAGATGAAATATTGAGGTTGTCCTGGTTTGTTTTTTTTTTTTTTCTTTTCCAGATCTGCCATCAACCATTTGATATTTTAATTTCTGCTTCAAAACAGCAAGCAAGAATATAATTTACAAATTCTTCAAAACTCCCACAGAAATAGGAAAAAACATTCCCACTTAACCATCTGGACAGCTAGTGTTTATGCTCCAGCTCATGAGTGTTGGGGGTCAGACCCCAGCCTCCTCTTTAGTGAGGTCATGAGCCAGCTCCATCCCACAGGTGATAGGACTGCACTGACTCCTCCAGCAGGAGGTCCAGGTCCTGCAGGGACATGTGCACACAGATATGCATTTCCACAAGCAAGGCCAGTCAAGAGAGTAACCTCTACTGAAGAAAGGTGGCTTCAGTGCCATGCGACTCCTCCTGCACCATCCCATGCCAACACGGCACACAACATCACTGAAGGGTGATCCAACATCACCAGGAATGGCATGGAAAGCTCCTTCAGGGTTGGCTTGGCAGGATTTGGGGTTGGGAGAACATTTAAATGGCTGCTTCTAGGATAGGCTTTCAGCACTTTTGAACAATACAAGAACAACTAAACAGGCTTTTGATTGATTTATTTTTTTTTCAGTCTGCAGGGGGTCACCCATCAGGCAGATCTTTGTCTGGCACATACTACTATCCTCGTCTTTTTCTGTTAGATAGAGACATTTGGTGGGGGTGGAGAGAAGGAAATTGAAATGCAAAAGGAAAATCTGACCAGGCTACTCCCACTCTTCGAAAACCCAAAATGCATGCGTGCATGAGCGAGCTGGCTAGATAGGAACTTAAATCCCAGCTGTATATAGTCATCCAGCAATATCCTTATGTGTAGCCTTCCTTCTTCCCTTTATCTAATTTTGTTAATTTGGAGCCTTGCAGCAGGTCAATAAGAGCCCCCTGGGAAAATGGGGGGCCCATAGTCAGGGAATTGGCTGAGGATGGTCCTGCAGACTCCCAGGCACAGACTTGTTTGAAGGAACCTGCTGTCTTCAGGTTTCAGAAGCTAAGCCAACCTGTCCTGAGAGGTGCCACAGCTGAAGACAAGCGTGCGTAGCTGCGTGCGTAGATGAAGGTCCCCTGCGTGTTTAATTGCAAACTGCTGGGGACAATTTGCTCAGCCTGCTTGTTGCTAGAGGGCTGAAAGGCAGTGCTTACTTCAACTGATTACGTTGGAGTGGTAAAGGACAGGTGGGTGAGTTCCTATCAGTTTTCTGAAAATAAGTTCTGGGTACAAGAGACCTCAAAAGTCCATTCAAACAGGGACAGGGGTGTCAGAAATGGGACCCTGGGAGAGATAGCAATCAAAAAGCCGGATCTGGACCATAGTCAGCCAGCCATGGCAAAGCTCACAGGAACTAGACTTCATTCATTCCAACTCTCATGCACAGAATCCTAACATGTTACACTTTACAACAGTACCGAGGCACGCCAGCCAGAGGGAAGGTTCAATGGTTGAGAAGGTAGGCTGAAGCTCAAGAATAAGGCACAGGACCTTCACAACAGTTTGATCAAAAGGAAAGCAGTGGTCCACTGAGTCCCATGACCTGGATCCAAGCCCTTGCATAGCCATGGAGGTGGTGTGTGGCCTTGCACAGACCCTTCTCCTCCCATCAGCCAGTTCAGATCATTAGCTCTGAACTGACAGAGGTGCAGTTTTCCTACCTGCTATCCCAGTGCATTGCTCAAGAGACTTCTCTTAGGACATGCCATAAAAAGCTGCTGCAATGGAAATAAAAAAACAGGGTTGCAGGGCAAAAAGGTAGTTGTTAAAAGGGCACATTTAACATCAGAGGCAGCAGGCTCCATTTACTGCCTGCTCAGC